CTCTTTAAAACTGTAGCTTATTTAAAATTGTGGTTCTTCCCATTCTTCCTTTTCTAGATTATTTTTCACATTCTAACAATATTTTACACATTTATTTGGCTTAGCACCTAGTTCCTCAAAGAGTGTAATTTCTGTTAGGATATAGAAATTTGCTCTGCTCTGTCCTACGTGATGACTATGAGTTGGAATAGACTCAATGTTAATTTTTTTTTTTTAATACTTTCAAGTGAGTCATTTCAACATTAATGACTCCTGAATGTCGGGATACATGAGATTTAAAAATCCCATCCACAGTGGATAGATAGGTAGAGAGAGAGGTAAATTTAAATTCACTTACTGAAATTTTTGCTCAGATAGATGCTAAATGTGTGTATTATAATATACACACATTTGATATATTATTAATTACTAGAATAGGGCCTGAAACATAGTATGGCTGAATATTTATTGTTGAATTTGAATTCAAGGTTTGTCCCTCTCTTATTCCTAGTATTAAGTTCTGGAACACTCATCTGATGATGATTCTCATTTGAGTTTGCTACCATGTACTGAATTTTTCACTTATCAGCTGGTCTGCATTCCTCTCTGGTGGTATTGTATGGGATATGTGTTTTCCCAACTGTACTTTGGTAACGGTTCAACCCATAGGGTTGTGAGTCCTCCAGTTCACTGCTCTTCTCTCAGCTTCCTCCATCCTTCTTAGGGAGTTCCTGGAAATCTAAGAATCCTTGTTCTGGCAGATTGGGGACCAGAGTCTATTGGTGGAAGGATATATCACCATATCTAGTCTCCTGAAGCTAGCCTGCACAAGGGTTTAGGTGTGGTAGATTCTGGGACCTGGATGTAATCAGAGAAACCTGGTAAGTGCTTCTGGGCTCTGGGATCTACTTGGTCTCCAGCTCAGCCCTGTAAGCTGTCAGACTTGCTTCTTTCCTCTGACACTCCCCTACTCTTGGCTATGGAATCTTTTACCTGTCTGGTATAAAACAGCCTTGGCTCTTTAGTTCTTCTTCCTTTATATCCCTAGTTATTCAGGCCTTCACATTTTTTGTTAATCAAAAGCAAAGCTTTTAATATCAGAAGACCTTTTCTGTAAAGATTCTTGCATTAGCAATACATTTAAAAGCTTATTTTTAAAACTCAAAAGCTAAGAAAGGCCTTTTCTGGTCTCTACTTTGAAATACCCTTTCTTGGGGCAGTGGATGGTCTTGTTTCAGAAGGGCTGAGAGAAGAGTAGGGCTTTGGAGTATGGAAGGATGGAAATAGGGCAGTCACTAGGCACATCATCATATTACATATTTATTTATTTAAGAACAAAACAAACAAGTGAAATAATATAAGAAACATCTCCCTTAACCTTTCCTATTCTAATTTCTGTATTGAAATTAATTAATCTCTGTATTTGCTTTTTGGAGAATGATTTTTGAATATTATCTCCATTCTCACTGTGAAAATGTCAGCCCAGTATTCATTATTAGTTGATGTGCTTCCAGAAAAACTTGTTCTTAATATCTACAATGTACAGTCATCTGATATTTTCCAATTTGTTCTAAGGTACTTGAAAGGGTGATTTGGTTTTGAAATTTGCAGCTAACATCCACTGAATGTGGACATAATCTGTTCATGTTTACCTCACATCTTTCAGAATGTAAGGACTTCCAAGCTCCATTTAATTTGATCATTAGGAAACAAGAAAACTGGGAAGAGAGGGTTAGCTGGAAAAAAAGAAATGCTTGTTTCTTAGCTTTTTGGGATTCTGCCATGTTTTCATTGCACATTTTAATTGGCCCTTAGTGGCATTATTGAATACTTTTTTCAAAGGCTCATTTAGTGTATCTGAGCAGGAAAAATGTGGGCCAGAGAGCATAAAATAAGCATAAAAATGAATTGCCACTTAATAGCCAATTCATCACTGGAACTAAAATCTATCAATTTTTTTGTTTATAGCTTTAGTAATTTAATGTAAATCACGCTGGCAATGTGCCAGATTTACTTATTTATTCATTTTCCACACAAAGAGCTATTTAGAAAGGAAATTTTACAATGAAGAAACTAAACCCCAGATAGTTTATGCAGTTTATTAATCTCACTTTTTTATTTCAATTGATTTACTTATATACTGAGTCAAAGTAAACCTAAGAGCTAATAACTAAAAAAGAACTTTACCACTTTGGAATATGAATGTTTTCAGTTTCTTTGTAATTTCATATATGTTTCTCTTAAGCTAATATTTCAAGATGATTGAAGACATGTTACCTTGTATGTTGTCTTTTATTGGACTTTGACTCCCGGTGTCCCCATGTGTATCAGAGAAGAATTGTGCTCCATAGAGTTTTCAGTAGCTGATTGTTCAGAAGTAATTGCCAGGCCTTTCTTAGGCACCTCTGAGTAGACTGGAACACATTATCAGCTGACCATGTTAACTGTTTACACCACCTAGGGTATCCAAAGTACCAAAAGGAAGAACCTAAACATATTATAGGCCCCTGGATGACACAAATGGTTTGTGTCCCACTACTAATAGAAAGGTTGGTGGTTTGGAAAGCCCCCCCCATGGATACTGCAGAAGAAGAGCCTGGAGATCTGCTTCTGTAAAGATGACAGCCAGTGAAAACCTCCATAAGTAGTAATTTATGTGATGGCAGCAGGTTTGGCTTTTTTGGTATGCATATTTTATATTAATATATTTAATGATGATATGATTTTTCCCTATTATTATATGGGCAAGGAAATGCTACTTCCCACAAATCCATATAGTACTTTTTTCCTTTATTTACTTTATATTTCTTGAAATAAATCTGAAACCATATAATTGAAATCATTCAGTTTTCAATATGCCTGTCAATCACATCTTATTCAAAAGGATTTATTCTATGTTCTCTCTCAATCACAAGAATAGTCCATATTATCAGTTGATTGACCTTTGTCTACCTAATTGAATTGTCTTAATAAGGTGAAATGGACATTCTTTGTCAAAGTACATTTGTGTACTTTTAAAGCTATCTCATTTTGATAGACTAATTTGATTTTTTGTTACATTGTCAAACTGTACAACAAATATAAAAATGGTTTTATAAATCATTGTTACTACCATTCATTCATATTGATAAAGTATTCATTATGTCAAGTGTTTTCATCAAGTACTATGTCACCAGACCTCTTTATTGAGTGGAAGTCTATGAATGTCAAAAACAATGTGTATTTATTTTTGCCATATAAGAAGATTTAAAGTACAACAGGGAATGGAAATTAAAAATAATTAAATTGAAATGAGATTTAGTAACTTCTATTTGTTTGGGAGTTTATCCATGTATGAGAACCACTTTAACTATCAAAGCATTTTCTGCACAGGGTTATAAAGAAAAGCAAGTAATTAAACTGTAGTCAACATCTGAAAATAAGTGTGAATTAATTATCATGCTACTGAAAATTAACAGGTACAAATGGATCACATGAGTTTTCATTTTTATCACAAATTAAATCAACTGTAGAGGAAATTCTATATAAGAATAGGAAAATTTAGAAATAAAGAGAAATACGCATTTGCACAAAAGGAGAATATTAACACAACAATGCATATCTATATTAATTTAGTAAATAAAGACAATTCTTTTAACAACTATATATTGAGAAACTGCTATATGCTGGGTACTGTTTTAAGTATATTGGTTGATAGAAAAATGAGTCAGAAACAGATCCTGATCTCAAGGTATTTACAGTTTAATTATAGGGAATTCAATAATGAGAGAAGAATGAAAGAGAAGCAGCTGTAAAGAAGGCTTTGTGCCAGTCTCAGTAGTTCAATAGAATGAGGCAACTGTGTGTCAGTGTAGGGGGGAGGGGCCCTTATATGTATTTGTTGAAAGTGTAATGTTTTCCGTTTTATGTTTCATCCAAAAGATTAAAATTTATACCCATTTCAGTACCTTCTCTCTCCAGTTCAGAGTATGGAAGTAGTCTGTGGTAACAGTTCATTAGAATCCAGACCATATCAGTATTTTAGATAATTATATAGCTGAGATTTTCTGTCCTAGCCTCTATCTTACTTGCAGGCTTCCTAAATAATGGAAATGGGCATGGCAGTGGAGAAACCAATTTAAAAAAGCATTAAAATTGCCCTTCAGAATAATGAACAGATAGTAACTAAAGTATATACTAATTTGTGAAAAAATATTACATTGGCAAAACCAAAGCCATTGCCATAGGGTCAATTCCAACTCCTTGCAAGCCTATGTGTGTCAGAGCAGAACTGCACTTCATCGGTTTTCAATGATTGATTTTTCAGAAATATATCTCCAGGCTTTTCTTCCAAGACTCCTCTGGGTCAGCTCAAAGTACCAACCTTTTAGCTATTAGTCAAACCCTTAAGCATTTGTTCCACCTTGTTGTTGTTCTTGTTGTTGTTTTGTGCCGTTGAGTCGGACCCAACTCATCACGACCCCTCCTTGGGTTTCCGAGGCAGTATCACTACAAAAGTAGATTGCCCAACCTTCCTTCCGAGGAGTGGCTGGTGGATTTGAACCACCAGCCTTCTGGTTAGCAGTCAAGTGCCTTAGGCACTATGCTACGAGAGCTCCTTTGTACCACGTAGGGACTCTTATTACATTAATATCACATTTTAAAGTTGAAGAAAATGAGGACTGCAAGAGGAGAAATCCATCAAATGCTTTCATTGGTAATATTTTGATATAATCTATAAGAAAGCCTCAAGTATTAGCAATACAAGCAGTGATAGACCTTTCTCATTTTTGAGAGGTAGCTGTTCTGTGTATTTTTTTTTAAATTAAAAGAAATGTAAAGACATAATGATTGTGTGTCTTTTCTATCCAGGGATAGAAGTGACAGCCCAGGCTTCTTGGCTGGTACTTTACCACTTGTGATCACTGTGCTTTATGGAATAACTAAAATTATGTGGCACATAAAAAGACTAGGATGGGGGAATTTGAACCCCTAATTTATATTTAAAAAGCATTTTTAATCTTTTTTGGTTTGCTTTATAGTTACCAGCTGACCAGTGGATACAAGCCTGCTCCAATGGACCTGAGCTTTATAAAACTCACCCCATCCCAGGAAGCGATGGTGGACAAATTGGCTGAAAATGCCCATAATGTGTGGGCTCGAGATCGAATCAAGCAGGGCTGGACTTATGGGATCCAGCAGGTACAAAAGAATTTACACGGCATATACTCTGACATTTGCTTAAGTGGGGATTAACATACTTTGTAACAGGAGAGATTAAATAATAACTGCTTTAAAATCCTTATAATGAGTCTAACTGGTATCTTAATGTACTTGTACATATGCAATAAAATGTCTTTTTGGTGCTGCACTCAAGAAGTGAGATGACGTGTGCTTTTGAGAGACATACTAGGTACATAGATATTACTAGAACTGTGATTTCTAACATGCTTTTATAATTTTCTCACTCTGAGATTGTATTTTAGAGCAAACATTGAAATAAGAAATGATTGAGATAAAATAATAATAATAATAATAGGTCCACAATTACCTATTCAAGATCTTTGGGGCTAAATGAATTTCAGAAATCAATTTTTTTTTAATAATGATGTGATATATCACATATTACAAAATACCCTCCAGAGGGCAGCAGACTGTAAATTAATATTTATTTAGTTAAGAAGCCTAGGGATAGCCATGCCAAGATAAATAAATAGCGACATTAAATATACTTGTATCAATTCAGATCAAGTTTTTATCACCAAATAACTTTTCATGAAAGTTAATAAAAAACTAGAATTTTCTGTATTTCATAATTGGAGATTGATGGCCATGGAAGTACTTGTCAGAAGAACTAACAGTCATTGAGTGCTTATTGAGGCAACAGAGCACAGAGATAAAGAGCAGATTTTAGCCTGGCATCTGAGTGACTGTGTGACTTGAGGTAAACAACTGAAATTCTCTGTGTTTTATGCATCAGTAAATTACTACAGACAGTCTTCAGATTATGAACTACTAACATTCCTAAATCTGTCTTTAAGTTGAATTTGTATGTAAGTTGGAACAGTTAGGTATGGTTTAATATGACATCAGTTAGTTAAATGTTTGTCTCAGTATATTCAATCCTCTCAGTATATAGTGTTCCATTCTATGCATAAAAGCATTAAAGAAATATTTCCAGGTACACTAAAACATCTTTAACATAATAACACAATAACAATAATGTTTGGTCCCAGGACCCCTTGCAGATACCAAAATCCACAGATGCTCAAGTCCCTTATATAAAATGGTATAGTATTTGCATGTAACCTAAGTAAATTCTCTCATGTACATTAAATAATTCTCTAGATTACTTGAAATACCTTATACAATGTAACTGATATGTAAATCATACTTTATGTTCCCTCTTAACCTTGGATGAAATGCTTTGACCAAGTAATTGCTTTTTTTTTTTTTTTTTTAATAATTTTTGAGCCCTGGTTTGATCCCTCGTTCTGCCAAGGACGCAGAACCCATGGATATGGAAAGCCAACTGTATATACCTCAAATTTTTAACGTAATAGGCTTTACAGGGGGTTAGTTCATAACTACAGGTTGTACATAAGTCAGACAATGGTGATGTGGGGACTGCCTGTGTAGAACTAATGTATGTAAAAGGCTTACAACAGTGTCTGGCACATGCCAAATACCATATTTGTTGCTATTGTTAGATGCTGTAGGACTATTCTTCAAATTTATGTACCAACCATTAATGCCAAAGATGAAGAAGTTAAAGATTTTTACCAGCTTCTGAAATCAAAAATTGATCAAACATGAAATCAAGATGCATGGATAATTACTGGTGATTACAATGTGAAAGCTGGAAATAAAGAAAAAGGATCAGTAGTTGAAAAATATATCCTTAGTGATAGATATGATGCTGGAGATTGCAAGACAGAGTTTTGCAAGACCAATTACTAATTCATTGCAAATATATATAGTTTTTTCCAACAACATAAAAGGTGGCTACATATGTGGACTTCACGTATTGGAATACACAGGAATCAAATCAATGACATCTGTGGAAAGAGACAACAGAGAAGCTCACTATCATCAATCAACAAGACAAGGGGCTGACTGGGGAATATACCATCAATATTTCATATAAAAATTAAAGTTGAAGCTGAAGAAAATTAAAACAAGTTCATGAGAGCCAAAGTATGACATTGAGTATATCCCACCTAAATTAGAGACCATCTCAAGAATAGATTTGACACATTGAACACTAATGAGAGGTCATGACCTTTTGCTTTTCTTCATGTATGACATCAAGAACATCATACATGAGGAAAGCAAAAGGTCATTAAAAAGGCAGAAAAGAAAGAGAAGACCAAAATGGGTATCAGAAGAGACTGAAACTTGCTTTTGAATGTAGAGTAGCTAACATGAACAGAAGGAATGAAGTAATAGAGCTGAGCAAAAGGTTTCAAAAGGCAGCTCAGTAAGACAAAGTAAAGTATTGTAATGAAATGTGCAAAGATCTAAAGTTAGAAAATCAAAAGGGAGGACCCACACTCAGCTCTTCGGAAGCTGAAAGAACTGAAAAAAAAAAAAAAATTCAAGCATCAAAATGCAGTATTGAATGATTCTATGTACAACATATTGAATGAAGCTTTAAGGGAAGAAGAAGGAATATACAGAGTCATTGCATCAAAAATAATTGATCAATATTCAGCCATTTCAGGAGGTAGCTTATGATCAAGAGCTGATGGTATTGAACGAAGAAGTCAAAGCTGCACTAAAGGCATTAGTGAAAATCAAGGCTCCAGGAAATTATAGAGTACCAAATGAGATGTTTCCACAGACAGACGCAACACTGGAAACACTCAGTCATCTATGCCAGGAAATTTGGGAGACAACTACCTGGCCAACTGACTGAAAAAGATCTATATATGTGCCATTGCAAAGAAGGGTGATTCAGCAGACTGAGGAAATTATGAAACAATATCATTAAGGTCACACCTAAGTAAAATTTTCTGAAAATAATTTAAAAAGATTTTCGTTAGTATATTGACAGGGAACTGCCAGATATTTATGCTGGATTCAGAAGAGGGTTGTAGAATGAGAAAAAATCACTGGTGAGGTCAAATTGATCTTAGCTGAAAGCACAGAGTACCGGAAAGATGTATCCTTGTCTTTTATTGACAAGGCAAAGGCATTTGATTGTATGTATCATAACAAACTATGGATAAAATAGTGAAAAATGGGATTCCAGAACACTTAATTTTGCTCATGAAGAACCTGTGCATAGACCAAGAGGCAGTCATTTGAAAAGAATGATGGTCATGGTTTAAAATCTGGAAAGTTGTGTGTCAGATTTATATCCTTTTACCATACTTATTTAATCTGTGTGCTGAACACCTAATCTGAGAAGCTGGACTATATGAAGGAGAATGTGGCATCAGGACTGGAGGAAGACTCATTAACAACCTGTGATATGGAGATGACACAGCCTTGCTTGCTGAAAGTGAAGAGGATGTGAAGCACTTACTGATGAAAATCAAAAATTGTACCCCTCAGTATGGGGTAAACCTCAATATAAAGAAAACAAAATCTTCACAACTGGACCAATAAGCAACATCATGATAAACGCAGAAAAGATTGAAGTTTTCAAGAATATCATTTTACTTGGATCCACATTTAACACCCATGGCAGCAGCAGTCAAGAAATCAAATGCCATATTTAATTTGGCAAATCTGCCGCAAAAGACGTAGAGAATTCATTTTGAGGACTTAGGTGCATCTGACCCAAGCTATAATATTTTCAGTCGACTCATATGGATTCAAAACTTCTGTTGCTTCAGAAAGAGGAGTAAGAAAGAATTGATGCATTTGAATTATAGTATTGACAAAGGATATTCAATATACTGTACTCAAACTCACTGCTCTCAAGTACAATCCAACTCATGGTGACCCCTCCTTAGGTTTCTAAGGCAGTATCACTACGGAAGTAGATTGCCCAACCTTCCTTTCAAGGAGTGGCTGGTGGGTTTGAACCACCAGCCTTCTGGTTAGCAGTCAAGTGCCTTAGGCACTGTGCTACCAGAGCTTCTTCAATACACTATAGACTGTCAGAATAATGAACAAATCTGTCTTGGAAAAAGTACAGTCAGAATGCTCCTTAGAAAAGAGGGTGGAGAGAATTTTTGTCTCATGTATTTGGGACATGTTAAAAGAGAGCCAGTCTCTGGAGAAAAGCATCATGTTTGGTAAATTGGAATACTTTGGTCTACTTCATAAAATGATATAGTCAGGGTAAAAGAAGAAGCCACTCAATGAAATGGACTGACATAATGCCTGCAACAGTGGATTCAAGCAGCAAGGATTGTGAGGATGGCACAGAACTGGGCAGTATTGCATTCTATTCAAGATAGCACATAACAGCAACAATCATTATAGGAGTTGATCTCCAGGTCTTTCTCCCATGGAGTTACTGGGTGGTATTGAACCACCAGCTTTTAGGTTAGCAGGGTAGCACTTAACTTTTACACTTCCAAGGCTCCTTAAAAATGCTGTATAACTGTTAAATATTAGTATTGATTGCTGGTCACTATGCCTAGAGATTTACATGTATTATCTTATTTAAATCTCACATCATCTCCATGAATGATGAATGATTCTTATTCTTAATTCAGGTACAGTTCTACACAGAGCCTTAAAGTAAATTGTCTAAGGATACACAGCTACAGAATATGCTACTCAGGATTGCGACTAAAGCCTCCTGTCTTAGTTATCTATTCATGTTACAACAAAAATACCACAATGGGTGGCTTTAGCAAACAGAAATTTACTTTTTCACAGTTTAGGAGTCTAGAAGTCTGAATTTAGGGTGTGAGCTGTAGAGCAAGGGTTTTTCTCTCTGTGGGCTCTGGAGGGAAGCTTCCAGGTCTCTGAGCTTTTGTTCTTTGGTGATCTTCATATTGCTTGATATCTCTCTTCCCCCATCTCTGCTTGCTTGCTTGTCCTAATCTGATCTTTTCATATCTTATAAAACATGGACTCAAATCACACTCAACACTAATCCCATTTCATTAATGTAACAGACAACCCTTCCCCAATGGAACTATAACAAAACAGCCATAGAGGTTATGGTTTTCAACACTTATATTTTTGGGGACACAATTCAATCTATAGCATTCCAACCTTTGACCCCCAAAATTCAT